GAATCCATAAACTAATAAAATATCAACAATTAAAACACAATTGATGGACTCTATCAAATTCCCCCACACTTGAAGTATGCTTGTCCTCAAGCATTAAAGAACACATGAATTCTAAACTTTCCTTTATTTAAGATGCGCCTTAGAAACTCTAGCACTCAAAAGAAATCATGGTAACAATGAAACAAAATTTCACAACCAAGTCAAATACATTATATACTTTTACCCTTTAGCCCTTTGTGTATGTGTGTGTAAACCACTCCCTAGGGACATCACTGTCACACATAGCATAAAATACAAAAATTCAAATGCAAATATGCCACTGAAGAGTGAACTTAGGATCCCCAATTCAGACTGTACTTCAATGCAATGTTACTCCTACACATATTATGAAACCGAAGGCTTACAATTACATCTCACATTATATAATTCAACTCACTTCCCTCGTACCCATTCTTCGGTGTCCATATGGCTTTTCTTCAGGATCTTTCCCACTCAGACCCCTACCCAGAGCATTTTTCCACTTGATTTATGTAGTGATTTACATAGTGGCTCAACAAGTTAGGGCAGTCTACTTACTCATATTTTCTCACAGACGGGCCTGAGGACACTCTGCTAGTTGTTTGCCAGACTTCTCACCTATCAATGTGCTAGCATCAATATTGAATGCTCTTTCTTTTCTCCCTCTTTAAATTGTACCTAATCTCATAAAAGCATCCGCCAACAACCCCTTCCTCACACTTACTTAGTACGAAGTACTTTAAGCAAAAAGGTAAAAAGGCTATTTTCAAACTACCACTCCCCCGTTTTTTGAGGTTCAAGTGATGATAGGGTTAATGCCTACTTTTGGGTTCCATAATATAGTAAGGTCCCACATACACATGGTACAAATACTGAATGAATCAAATCAAATTTTGGCATATCGCATGAATTTAAGAAATTACACATACATGTTAAGTTTATCCCAGAGTTAATGCTAAAGTACGCAAGTAAAGTATTCAGGGTATAACAATAATGCACGGACTCAAAAGAAATTTTTGTTGCAATGTAATTACATTTCTTAGAGTCTCAAGTTAAATTCATCATTGGCTATTTTTGGTATTTTTTATTTTTCTGATTTTTTTTGTTTCATTTTTCAATTTTTTTTTAACAAAACACGCAAAAAACACACAAAAGAAAACAAGAAAACACACAAAAGAAAACAAAAACCCCTCCCCCACACTTAATTTGTACATTGTCCTCAATGTAGGTTATTGTACTCACACAAAAGAAGTAAACCAAGGAGCTAAGCACGACTTCATACTGTGGGATACAACAACACATTTAAATTCAATTCACTCAAATTCAATCCCCACAAAACAACCACTAAAGGTACAAATCAAAGTCAACTCATAGCAGCATAGAAGAAAAAATATTCAAACAAGTTGAGACTTATAAACATTGATACTCTCAACACCAATTCAAAAAACAAACAAACTCCAAGAAGACCATCATCAAAACGGCAGCAAAAAGAATTAAATTAGAACTGCTATAAGAAGATGGATTTAGAATCTTCCCTGGAGAATATTTTTTGCAATTGAAAGTCCTGAAATGGAAATGGATAGTGTGAAAAACATGTTGATAATTCATCTCCAAGGCTTGATGGATGATGGCTAAACCGAGGGTGAAGCAGCCAGGATGATGATGATGATGATGACTAATAGAGACAGCGGCAGCGGTGGACTTCATGCTGACATAAAGGTGAAAACGGAGGAAACGCGAACATCAACAGAAGTAATCGGCAGTGACACCGACAAGAAATGTGGACGGCTAACCAACGGCAGGAAACGGTGGCCCGTAGACAACAGTAGAGCACTGGCTCAGAACAACTATTGACGGAATTGATCAGCAGCAGCGGCAAAAGGCGGCAACAACCGAGAACCGTCGGACTTAGGAAAGCTCGCTGGAAGTGGATCAAACCAGCAACAACAGCTGTCGATGAAGAACTCTGCATTTGCAGCAGCAGAGGGATTGACGATAGTGTCGGCGGCCAGCGGAAGCAATCGGCGACAGCAACGTAAGCGATCAAAAGATATCGATGGAAAGGAAAAGAAGAGAGCAGCATTAGCAATCCGGTCGACGATGATGAGATCGAAGCGGTAGTGCGAACAATGATGGTGATGGTGATGGTTGATGGTAGATAGAGTAGAATTGAACAATGATGACGACGGTGGTCAACGGACAGAATTGCCGGGCCAAGGAAGATGAAGGAGTGCACCGGACTTTATGGTGTAGCTGCTGGAATTAATCGGGACAAAGAGAGCGGCGCCCTTGCTATGGTGCAGTGGTGGAGAAACCTGGCTGCCGGCAACAATGGGAATCGGCGATGGATGTGAAGCAGATGGTTGTTAGTGCTAATCCGCCGCTGGTAATGTGGAATTGTAGGTTCCTGAAAAAGGAAAAAAAAACGACAGTATTTTTTTTGTAAAAAAAAAATTGGCTATGTTCGTGTTAGACGTGATCACGTCTAGTAAGGATGGAGATTCGCTGGTCATTGTCAAAAATTAAAATTTCAGAATCCTTTCTTCTCTTAGGCATGATCACGCCTAAGAGAAAAATTACTCCAATAAAAATGCAGCGAACCAAACATTATCTTACCCATAATCACGCTGAACAAATTTTTTTTTTTACTAAAATAAAATACTAAACATGCATGAAAAAATAAATTTCAACTGACAAAACTAATTTAACAAATCAAAACACAATTAAGTAAACTTGGGTTGCCTCCCAATAAGCGCCTTTCTTTATTGTCTTTGGATAGACCAATTTAGTGTGTCTCAAGGTGAAAATTTTGAACTTTCACCTAACAACGGTAGATAAAATTTTGAGCAACATCCAAGGAAATCAAAGTTAGATGGACCAAATTCATATTTAGACATTGATTCAACAAAATGAGGTGGAAAGTAGTCTCCTCTAACTAATTCTTTAACCACTCCACATCTATCTAGACTCACAAAACTTGCATCTACGATTAGCCCTATTTCAGGAGGTCGAGATAGATGTCTATATGCACACTCAAGAGATTTAGGTAATGGTATTAAAACAACTTTTGGAGGCTTCCAATCCTTAAATGCATCATTGAAAGTGGATGAAGTAGTAACCATACCTGGATTCTTGTATTTGGAAGAAAATTTTGATTGTGGCATAATAGATACTTTTTTCCCAATTAAAACTACCTCGACACTATGGAATTGGAATTCTTTCTTTTCAGCACAAAACTTCTTAAGAAGCTCATCATGATAAAGGCATCTCGTCAAAATTTTTCACCAAATGTACATGTACCTCATCCTTGGAAAAATTCTCCACCACATTTCATTTGGGCTCCTCGATCTTTGGCTCTATTGACATATCTGAAAAAGAAGTAACAGCTGCATTAGTTTGACTAAATAAAATAGAAAGATCAATTACCTCATTGTCGTCCAATGCCTCTGCCTCATTTTTCTCTACTCTCATATGTTTCAAATCTTCTGCGTTTTGAGTAGCTGTAGTCTCGACACCATAAACCTGTTCTATGAATGGATATTTCATTTTTTCTTATTCGGCCCTTGAGAATCTGCTAGGAAACGGAGGAAGTACCGCATAATGTGGCTCTTCTTTAGCAATTTCTTTCTCTACCTTTGTCTCAGATACATCATTTTTGGGACTTACTTCCTTCATGGCACACACACTTTCAACAGGATTAACTACCGATGGAGATGGTAATTTCACAGGCTTTGAGACTTCGAACTTGCTAATAGCATTAGCTAGCTGGCTAATTCGACTCCCCAAATCCTGTATGCTTGCTCTTGTTTCCTGTTCAAATTCAAGAGTATTAGCTGCGAAAGCGTTAACAATCTCATCTAAAGACAAACCTGAGCTTTGAGACTGTGGAGGTTCCGAACATGATACACTTGTAGCTGAGATGGTTGATACTCATAGTTGAAATTCTGGTAATCCTGCCAGCCTGGATCATATGAATATGAATCAGGTTTGTATCTCTCTTGCGGCAGTCCCCAAGATTCTCTCATGGCATCCTGAGGCTCCCACTGGTAATATGATAATCTCGGACAAAAATCTCTAGTATGACCAGTCATTAAACAAAGACCACATCTTAGGACTTGTTTCTATTGACCTATAGCAAAAGGGAAAAAAAAAACTAAAATAAAATCAAACAAAAAATTAAAGGAAACAAATCAATTAACACCGTCCCCGACAACGGCGCCAATTTGATGTGGTGTCAAGCCACACAAATAAATTAACCTACTTCAAACTAAGTAGTATAGAGAAGTAAGGTCGTCTCCTCAGGGAACGATGGATTATTTCCTTCAAATTAATGCAAAGATGGATTTTTGGATTGTTGTTCTAAGTCTATGATAATGAAATTCAAATAACAAAAACTAAATAAATGAAAAGAAATCAAAGTAATAGACTTCTGACTCAAGGGACGGATAACTCAATTATTTCATTAATTACAGGCTACTAAAACTACTCTTGCAATTTAAGCATTCAACCAAAGATCTATTAGGATAGCCGTAATAAATCAATTAATTTTCCTAAATTAACTAACAAAGTCTAGCACTCAATTAGTCCTTATCATAATTCGGATGGGCACGATAGCGTTCCATACCAAACAATAATAGCATAAATATCAAGGAAATATAGTTAAACCAAAATCTAAACAATTGAGATAGCTGCAACTATTCAGACTTTGCCTCATTGATTCAACATTTAAACTAAGATGTATATTCAATGTCTCACCAATACACATGTTTTTTCTAATTGCTACTCAGTACTGCCGGTTCTTGTCTATTACGTAACATTCAACTAGCAGATAGCAGTAAAAAATAAATAACAAATCAAATTGTCAATTTGAATGATATCTATTTTCATAACTCAATAGAAGAATAAACAAATATACTTAAATTATAGGCAAGAACAATAAATTAAAAACGAAACCTCATAATAGAATAACTGAATAAATCCCTTGAATCAGAAAGAAAATCCTTAGCCACTCATGGACGGAAACACGACGGCTTTATTCTCCATGGAAATTCAAGGAAAATTGGAAGAAATAAAAGGTTTGAGGTGCTAGCCTTTGGCCGATGCACGGCTGCCCTCTAAAATAAAACTAAAAGTATATTTATATGGAAAATTTAGGTCAGATGCTGGAAAAGAAGAATTAGTCCATGATTTGCATCTTTGGTTCCTCGAGTTTGTAATATTTTCACTTTTGCCCCAAAACTTCTTTAATTTTGTATTTAAGTCTGTGGTCGTGCAAAATCATCCAAAACAGCTCCAATCTCTTATTTCCAGCTCCTAACAAGAAATAATAACAAAAAAATGAATTAAATCCATCCGAATTCATAAACTAATAAAATATCAACAATTAAAACACAATTTATAGCTATCAATCAGCTGCAAATATCTTGAAACTAGTGGTTAACTAATCAGGCTAAAATGAATATAAGAGGATGAAAATTTAATAAGGTTTGTAAAGAGAACAAATTTGATTTTAGTTGTTCATTATTCTTGTCTCTGGACTTGTTAATTGATCCACTAATTTGTTACGATGTTTAACAATTCTATCTGAAACCCACAAACACAATGCAAATGATCCCCATAATCATACTACTTCTGTTTTAGAACTCTGTCATTCTCCATTCTGAGGTTTATGAAATTCAAATTTTATTTTTTTCTACATACGATATCTATTGTCTTCAATACTTGTATAAACTGCAACTTACATACAATAATTTTACTTCTCTATAGGAAAATATAATCATTCTTTGGGAAAATTCCGGCAGCCGTATAGTTTAAATTGTTCTATTACCTTAACAAGGTTCAATATTTTGTACTCCCTCCGTCCCATAATTATTGTCCAGTTTGAATTTTTATTTCTAGTTTAAATTGTAATACAAATGAGATTTTAAATTGGATATTAATTTTGGGACAGAGGGAGTATATGATTAAAGCTGAAGGAGTCAATTTCTTTATACCACAACCCCTTTATTAGTTCTATAAAATATTTGATCTATTTTTCCAATTTTGCTATTGAATTCTGTGTGCTAGTCTTCAAGAATCCAATTCTGTGTGCTACTCTAGATTGCAGGCCATAGTTTTGGCCCACTAATGCGTAGTTCAACATCTCACCCTAATCGGCTAAACCCATATTCCCGACTTTTATGTCCAACGCATGCCTCATTATTGGGTCTACTACTTATCATTCACGAGTTTTTTGTATTTTTAGAAACTGATATAGATGCTTTTCATTATCCGTCCGAATGGCAACTAATAATCCCCATGAACTATTGTTGTTTATAAATATTTTAAGAATAATGAGAGGTACAGCCGTAGGGGGAAAAAAATTGACAAAAAAAAAAGGATAAAAAATGATACGCACCATTCATTTTTTAAAACTTTCCATCCAAGATTTTCGTATTTAAGGTTAGAGTATAATTTAGAGCATTGACACTAATTTTCTTATAATTTTTTCTTATATGTATCACTACTCATATTTTAATAATTAAACCGAGATAAAATTAGGCTAAAGGGTGAATAATTTAGGGCTTGTTATTTGGAAAGAGTATAGATATTCAATCTTAATTTATCATAGTGAAAGTTTCTGATTCTAGATTCCTGTCGACAAGACCTAATCCATATGGGCTTGAATGCTTTGCTTTTGCATTTTTACATTCGTCAAATTGGGTAAAGTACAATTATTTACTCCCTCTTTCTCAAAATTATTATCCAGTTTAAAATTTTATTTTTAATACAATTTGAACTAAAAATGAAAACTCAAACTGGACAATAATTATGAGACGGAGAAAGTATTTATTTATCAATTTTAGCGAGAGGCATAATCTGAAGTCTGAACTCCAAAATATTACGCCAATGCATTTTGTGAGTTGGAAACAAAAACTACATTACATTTTGAGGATAGTTTGATACCTTACAGCGGATCAATTATTACATTATCCAAGCAACCATTTTTACATTTTACGTTAATAGATTTTTCTTCTCAAAGGAAGGACGACTCCAACGTAGAGAAAGATAAAAATAACAAAATGAAGAAAACTAGAGAACAATTCAAGGTAGAATGAAGATCATTATCTTTCTCCACGTTGTTCAGGTGTGAGGCCTCCTTTTCCACAAACAGGACAACTCTTTAATCCGAATCCTTGACAATCGAAGCATCTAACCAGGCATTTTGGTTGGACCCCCCAAAAAAAAAAAAATCGATTAACTTGTTATAATTGAGTGTATCGTAGTTACTCGAGCATAAGAATTCATTTTTGACTAAATAAATCATTTATTTGTTATTCAAACGATTATTTTTGCACATTGAACCGGGAAAACACAAATAAAAATAAAGAAAAGAACTGATACTTACTTCCATCGCTCAAAAATGTTGCCATTCTTTTTGTTCTTTCCGGTACCCTAAATCAACAACAACATCGTTCAAATAATTATGAATTAACCAAAGACTTTCAGTTCGATCATGTTCTTCCATTCGCCATCTCTTTAGAAGTGGCGACTGGCGAACCGGCATTAGTTTCGCCCAACAAATAACAAATTTGTTGAAAAAATGATGAAGTTGCTGAGACAATTACCGTACAAGTAATTTATGATGAAAATAATGACCATTACTAGCTCCTTCAGCAATATAACCAATACAATTTTATCTGTCTCATAGCAATAATGTAACCTTATATTAGTTTTAGATGTGCGATTTTTTTTTTTTTTAGAGTGGTAATACTTGTAAGGAAAATTTGACAAAGAAATTTACAAGTATGGACGGTTATGATTCATATTCTGTTAAAATTTCTATGCACGAATTAGTATCCTTATGTTTATAAACCGTAACAAGGGAACATTTACTAATTAACCTTAAATACCTTACATCCTGGACATTCTATGGCACCTTGACCTCCACATCTTTCACATTTCTTCAGTATCTGTAAAATCAAGTAAGTTGAATGCACTGGCTTATTTAATTTCACACATATTCTTTTTGCCAATAATAAGTAGTCAAAATTAGAAGCATCCTTTCTCCAATTGAAAAAAATTTCTTCAGAAAAATAGATGAAGTTGCCCAAGAAGAACAAAGGAACGAAAAAAAAAACATACGGAATTAAGTGAAAAACCACCAGATTTTGCAGCAAAAACCGTGAAAGCCCTCTTTCTTTGTTGCTTCCCGCCTCGTGTAATGCTCAATTTGATATCATCTTTGTTGGTAAGATGTGAAAATAGGTCGATGGAAGAAGAAAAGCTTGTTGGAATTGTGGTCATTTTTCAATTTCTGATTGTATCAATCGATCAGTATCAGATCATTATTTCTCGTTTATTCTTTTTTGTTTTGGTCTAATATCTGCAACTCACAGGAACCTCAAGAAGTGGATAAGGCAAACCCACACCATCTTGTTTTTTGGTTTTCTTTTATCATTCCAACTATTCCTTGGCTTTTGGTTTATAAATTTGAAAGACTTTTCTCCCACTTTTAATATATTATAATATAAATTTAAAGAAAATTATTAGTATTTTAATTACGGTCTATCGTTAATTATACAGTAAAGTTATTAGAAGTTATTATTACTACGAGTTCGAAGTTAAAATGTTCTATTACTAGCTCAAGAAGGGAAAAATTCTTCTTATCAAATTGGAGTAGAGGAATTCACCAGGGTGGCTTGGTTTCTTTTGATTTTTAACTCTAGTGAAAAGTGAAACTTACAGAAAAGATTTCTTTTGAGAAAACGGAAGACGACTTCATTGTGGGAAGGAAAAATTTCAAGGGAAAGAAATAGCACATTGTGGTGAATAGCAGTGTTGTCAGGTTCGGACCGGAGCTCGACTCGGCATTGGTTAGAGATCGAGCAAATTGGGGGTCAATTCGGGATGAATCGGGAGTCGACTCGGATGACGTCATAATGACGTAATAAATATTAATAAATTAAAAATTATATTTTTAATAAATTTTATAACTTTATATAGATTTGTCAATTATTTGAGTCAAATTAGTGCTTCAGAGTTCTCAAATCATTTTTTTTATGGAACACAATTATAACATTACATATACGATTAGTTTAATTAACTTTAGTTATGATTAAAAAATTAATAAATTTGATGCACAATTGACTTTTATCATAAAAAATTTACATTGTATGTTTAGTCAATTAATATGGTTATAGTTTTTTATTTACTTTAGTTTAAAATGATAAATATTGATTTATTTATTTAGTCCGTAATATTTTACTTTAGTCTCAAGTAATAATTTTTAATCAATTTAGTGTGTAGGATGTGGCTTGGATGGTTAAAATAAATATTTAGACTTATAAATTTGAATTTAAGAGTTTGATCTCACAAATATACAAGTTATGGGTCATTAAAAATATAGAAGATCTAATTGGGGATTAAAAGTAAAAAATCAGAATTGAATAGGACTCAAAAGTAGTGTAAAAAAATTAAAAAATTTTAAAAATCAACCCAAAAGGTCAAAATCCGGTTCGATCTGATTTTGACCGATTTCCGATTTAACCGAGTTTTTGACCGGTTTTGACCTAGTCTCAGACAGACGATTTTACTACCTGCTCGGCTCGGTTTGGATTCCAATTCCCAGTTAACCTGGTTCGACCAGCCGGTCCGAGCCGAGCTTAACAACACTGGTGAATACTAAATATAAAACTGTGTAAAATTTCATTTCACTTGGTAGAATTCGAATTCGTTAATTCCCACAACGATTAATATAAATGCTTTTACCCGCTTGAACTAGTGTAAAGTTTGTCCTGATGGAGAATTTCAAAGGAAAGAGCATTTATGAAACAATGTATTGATACAGGACAATTTCAAAGGAAAGAGCATTTATGAAACAATGTATTGATACAACATTTTTCATATGTTACTTTTATTTTATTTTATTTATTTTTTTCAGTTGATCATCATTCATAAATTTCAATTGTTTTTTGACCGTTTCAGTAACTTCAACATTCGGCCATATTCATGTGAATTAAAACGTCTGGTCACCCTTGACTCCATTCCACTAATAATTTCGGTCCACTTTGATAAATGGGCCAAAAGAAATTATGAGAAGAGCTTCATTTGTAATCCCATTCGTTTTCTGCAGCAACCAAAGTGGTTGTGGTGGAGTGAAAGGGATTCCTCCACCCTTAATCATAATCTCACTATGAATATGGAGCAACTTTAAATAATTTGAGCAACTGTCCCACCCATCGAGATGTTTATAATTTAGCGAGGGGATTAGTCACTGTTGTCGACGATGGACCCAAGACTCTATATTTTGGAATTTCCATTCAATCTCAATTTCATTTGAAACCCAATTCATCTCCCAACAAAATTGAGAAAGAAATTTGATTTTAGATTTACTTGTTTTTTTTCGAATCATATTTTAAGAAAATATTAGCTCAATAGACGTTTACTTTACCTTATAAATTAATATATTTTCCACCTTGACATGCTTTTAAACATTTCTAATACACGTTCTTTTATATATATATATATATATATATATATATATATATATATATATATATATACACTAGATGTTAAACCCGTACGATGTGCAGGGTTTATACATATACATTTATTAAAATATATTTTTAAATTTTAAATGTGATTAATACAAATAAAGTAACTAGTTTGTAATAATAAATATATGATTAAAATTAAATTAGATCGTGATAAATAAAATTGTTATATATACTTTGAAATGACAAAATTTTATAAATTGTATACCAAAAATGTAATTAAATAATGGAACATGTATAACGATTATATACAAATAAAAGTAAAAAAGACCACCAAAATAATAAATCAGATGTTACATGTCATATAAATCAAAGTAATTTATGTCTACACGGTTAAAAACGCATGTTAATCAAGATTGCACACAATTAGAGAAAGAGACACCTTACAGGTTAAATAAAACATGATCGGAGTGAGGTCGTCGCAAAGATGTTTTGTAAAGTATATACGATGCTTCGCTTCAGTGTTTCACCGGTTGTCATTGTACATGTTAGAGTTAGACCGAAGTGGATATTTATTGTGAATGTCTGAATGAGATATCATAACCAGTAACTAAAGTAAAATTCATAACTATGGAATAAAGATGATAACGTCACGTTGATTAAGGGATAAGATTGGTGGGGAAATGACTTCCATTGCATTAATGTTGATTAGTCTTTTTCAATTAAATCTGATTAGTTTTTAATCACTAAAGAATTCCCACTTTCCCGCACGTTGAACTTAGGTTTTAAATCAATCAAGTAGTGATTTTAGGGATTATTTTATAGAGGAATTTTTTTTTATTCGAATTGGCTGGGGTAAAAAATTCCGGTGAATTAATGTTGAAAATAATAAATGCCTTATCCCTTTGAACTTATAATTTAACTCAATCAATTAATAGTAATTGGGAATTAGTTTTGGGAGGGAATAATTCTGGTGCATTAATGTTCATTAATCCTGTCCATTAAATTTAATTAATTTTTATTTTCCTATTTTAAACTATAGTTTTAAATGCTATTTGATAAAATTTTATTTACATAAAATTTGAAGGACTATTAGTATAATTATTGTAAATATTTTTTGATTCAAGTAATAAAAAAATGATACATAGGATTTTATCATATGTGGCACCTTTAGAATTCTTTTTTGTTTTCTCTCTCTGCTTTCTCTCTTAGTATAATATATATACTATATATATATATATATGTATTTTAAAAAATACACATTCCAGATTAATTAACGGATTGTTATACCATGGACCTAACTCAAGAACTTTAGCTTGTAATGGCAAGTAGTTGGCTACAACTTGGTGTAAAAGATAGAACAAGTGCACTATGATCACTAAAGTAATTAATTCATTTAAGTAGTATTTCCTTTTGTTTAATGGCTTAAAGATGTTTTTCCATTTTGTTTAATGGCTTAAAGGTGATAGTGGAAGCTCAACTTCTTGGTAAAGTTAAAAGAATGTTTTGTGCACTTCGTTAGACGACAATTGTAGCAATTTGAAGTGAATGAAACCTTTTCTCTTTTTGAATTTGATAATTCCAACTTGCCCATTTTGAACGAAACCATTTCTTAACTTGACATTATCTGCTTACTTTAAAATCATTAATTTTTGTCACTATGTAAGAAGATTAGACATCAATTTTTCATCTCTCAATTTGTTTACACGAGGGCCGCAATTCTTCAAAGTTTTTGACGTGTTAGGTAGTACCCAAAAAGGTTTTACAGGTTGTAATTAAATAAATATTTTTTCGTCTCAAAATTATTATATTATTTATTACATTATCATTTTTTAGGACATAAAACATCTATTTTAGTTAAGTAAAGAGAGTTTTGCATGCACTAAATATGAAAGACACGATGTTCTTAATTTGTTTTTCTTTCCCTCTTTGCAAAAGCAAAACACCATTGGTATGTGTTTTATTTCTCGCCCCTGATTTCAAGCACACAAGACAAGAGATGCACAAACATTTGGCTTTCTCTAGTGGATTTTGCCTATAAATTCATGAGCAATAATCTTCATCAAAAAAAGATATATGCATAAAACAGATAGGACCCAGTGAAAGAAGCGCAGAGGTGAAGCTCAAAATGAAGCTTAATTTCCAGTCTCTCTGCTTTGTTGCTATAATCGCTGTTCTATTCTCATCAGGTATAAGCAATTTGCAAATTTATTATAAACACAGAAAATGGATCTATGGTTCACAAGTTTTTGTTTTGTCCCCTTCCCCTAAACTTTGTATTTATATGGCACATCTTTTAAATTAGGAACAAGGAATAACTTAATGGATGTTTAGTTTACAATGTATGTATTCTAGGGATGGGAGATATGATTGAAGTGGAGAAAGGTGGTAATGTAGGAAGATGCATGGAAGTGATGGTGGCAGATGGATGCAATCTTTCATCATGTAAGATTCAATGCTTGCAAATGAAGAACGGGAATGGAATTTGTTTATCCAAAGTCAAAGAGGGAAATTACCAATGCGTTTGTTTCTTTCCTTGTTGAAATTAAACTGAGATGATTAATTCCTTGCCATATATAGCTTTGAGATTTTGATTCTCAGTGATTAAATGAGATTTGGTTGATTAGGGCAATGAATTTTTGGAATAGATTTCATCCTTCGATATCTCAGATGTATAATGTTTAAATCTTTGATAAGCATTTCCTAGTTTGAATCAAAGGCAACTTTTAGTTCTTCTTTTATAATGTAGGTAATCTTCAAGTTGGGAAATTTTCTCTGATGTTAAATGATTAAAATCATGTACCAGTTCAGTAGGATAGTGATGATGATACAAATGACATGACCTTCGTGAGCAAAATCACTCTATTGTTCCCAAATTACCGTTGGTGAGTAAAAATCAATTTTACATGACCTTCTCCTCCTCACCAATCGTCCCCTAGCGTTCTCTTTTCCTGCGCATATTAGGCATAGTTCCACTCGGTT